TAGAGCAAGTATTCAGGTGTGTCTTCCGACAGTTCTTCGGTATACTAGAGCAAGTATTCAGGTGTGTCTTCCGACAGTTCTTTGGTATACTAGAGCAAGTATTCAGGTGTGTCTTCCGACAGTTCTTTGGTATACTAGAGCAAGTATTCAGGTGTGTCTTCGGTATACTAGGATTAATAAATCTGCTTTGTGGCTTGGTAGAACAAGATAGCAGGCTTAATGTCATACCTATTTACAACGGTGATTAAAGCTACAAATAACTGATGGGACTAGCTTTTCTTTAATGTTTTCTTAAAAACCTTTTACTTTATAGATGGACTTGGGATTTTCAACTTGAATGGCACCTTATACACACATATGCTAAAGGACAATAGGAAAGACATCTGCCGCCACAACGGCTTTGGCCAGCCAGCTGTTTGAACCTAATAACAGGGCCGACTGTCCTTTTTATAACGCGTTCAAAGCGGACTGTGCAACAAATCTTGAACTACAAGTCCTCAGTACGTAGATCGCCATGCCGTTCAATAAGTCACGCCCAACCCTGCCTTATAGATACGTTTAACGCATTTTCTATCTTTACATCAGTTTAAAATCTTGAACGATTTTTAATTCTTTGCCTCCTTATTTCTAGATGGATGTTGTCATAAATCTCTGCAATATAGCGTTTACAGGATTGAATACACGTCTTTTTATATCGACGTCGTGGTTTTTTTGGCAGATGTCTCCAAATTAGTAAGCATTTCATAGCAGAACTAATTTCATTAATGTCGAGCTTGCCCCCCAGTGGCACAGCGGTATGTCTGTGGACTTACAACGCTAGAATCCGGGTTTCGATACCCGTGGTGGGCAGAGCACAGATAGCCCATTGTGTAGCTTTGTGCTTAATTACAAACAAACAAACAAACAATGTCGAGCTTTAGCAGCTTGATTATCAAAGTTTCTTTAATATCTATATTGTTTTCTTGCTGCTTCTTGTCATAATTTTAAAAAGTGCATTCCTTACTTCAACTGCAACTACGCATGACATGTTCTTTTATACTCGATCTGTCTTCACTGAGTAAATCTGTATGTTCCCGCACTCTACTGGTAATTCCTATTTACCTACCGTTATAATTAGGATATGTAGGTTCATAAACAACGTTAGAGAGTTTTTATACAGGAATCTTATCTTTAAATTTAAAAAAATTCAATCTACTTCCAGGTTTGAAAATAACTCTTAGGTCAAAGTGAAAGATATTCTGTGACTGTTTTCTTACTAAAATACGTTTTCAAGTGAAGGGTGGTAATTTTGTCACATTTATGATTTGTTGTTTTGATATCTGAACTCTTACTAAGTATGTTCTTATGTTATGATCTTGTCTGTCCCATAAAAAAGAAAATCATTCTTTTTCAAATCACATTTTATATTCTTCACTTTCTTATTGAAATGGGCCCGGCATGGCCAGGTGGTTAGGGTGCTCGACTCGCAATCTGAGGGTCGCGGGTTCGAATCCCCGTCCCACCAAACATGCTCGCCCTTTCAGCCGTGGGGGCGTTATAATGTGACGGTCAATCCCACTATACGTTGGTAAAAGAGTAGCCCAAGAGTTGGCGGTTGGTGGTGATGACTAGCTGCCTTCCCTCTAGTCTTACACTGCTAAATTAGAGACGGCTAGCGAAGATAGCCCTCGTGTAGCTTTGCGCGAAATTCAAAAACAAACAAACAAACTTATTGAAATATTCATAAGCTCGGTGGACTAATATTTTTACAATATTATATTTGTAGTTATATGGATAAAATTATCAAAATTGAAAGACAGTCTTGTGACCGTTTTTATATGAAAAGCTTCACAGCTTAATTTCCCTTGTTGTTATGGAGTGAAACATCCAATAAAGCAAGTTGTTGATTTTCTTGATGTTCTGACGTGAGCTTTATATTAATATGTTTATTGTTCAGATATTCACACAACTGACTTGTCTATTCCTCTTCATTAAGAATGGCAAAAGTATCATTCACGTACCTAAGATAGTATACAGGTTTGAAACATTCCTCCAACCATTGTTTTTATGGTAGCACATAAATAAATCAGCTATCGGTGAAGCTAATCTGGGCCACATCGCAACTCCAACAATTAAAAAGGAAATATAAATTCTTGGCGGCAAATTTCAAAAGTTGTTGAAAACTGACCTGGGGAATCTCATCACTTCACTTTCATGTTCAAAAGTTAAACTTGTCGCCAGTTGTAATGTCTCCTTCAAAGGGATAATCGTATATAATGATATAATGTCCAAGCTAACACAGAATACATTGCTATAACATTTTAGATCCTGTACTTCACTAGAAAACACAAAACTATATTTTATGGTATGCTGGTTATGAGGAAAGCGATCCATAAATTCCTCTATTAAACCTCCTGCGAGGAATCTAACCCCACATTTTAGCGTTATAAGTTTGTAAACTTACCGCTGTCTCACCGGGTACTGTGATTACAAACACTTTACAAAAAGTAATTTTAAAATTTCCAATTTTTTTCAGATTTCTTAAAATATGGGGCTGGGCTTAGTTTGATGGTTATTGTGCCAGACTGTGGATCTGAGGATCAATGGTTCATGCTTTTAAAAAAAAATAATGCATTGTAGTTTGGGACCACCGATACATTATAAGAGTAGCAGTAAAATACTCGATTAAAGCAGCTCAAGATTTTGTGATGGCTGCTGTTAACTATCTGCCTTCTCTTTAATCTGTCAGTTCAAAATTAGATAAGGTCAACGAAGATAGCGCGAATATCCGAAACAAACGAAACCAAATTATTAAAATGTGTGATTCCAAAATCAAACATATGTGGTAAATTTGATTAAAAACGAATTATAAGATAGAAGTCATGAACAACAACCTAGATTAAAAATAATAATTTTTAGTTGGTTGATCTTTAAATTCAACAGAAAGTCATCTATATACATCTTCCAAAGAATGAGTTACAAAATTCTGAGAAGCTGTTAATTAGCTCTTTCCAATACAACCTAATAGACCTATATATTAGCTCAGTGGTTCCCAACCTGTGGTCCCCGGACCCCTGGGGGTCCGCGAGGATAATACCATCTCATTAAACAAGTAGGTTTTTTAATTCTGTTGTTTTTTAATTGCACACTCAGTTATATATGTATTTTATTTTATAGTGAAAAATGGAAAAACAAGTTAATTATTAGTAAGAAAAACAGTTTGTTGGGTTGATGGAATCTTTCAAAGAACATGGGGTCCTTGGTGGTGAAAAGGTTGGGAACCGCTGGACTAGCTAATTCATTAAATACAGCCATTGAATTAATCATAACCAAACTATGACACATATTAACAGTTTCTGTTTTAATCCAAACTTCTAGTGTTATGAATTTTTTTTTTCTGTTTTCATGCTTTGAGGTCCCTCTCTTTGTACTTTAGTTAACGAAATACTGAACACTTTTAAAAGTTGCAGCATCAATCAAACAAATGCAGTGAAAATACTGAGATTAAAAAAAACTATCATGTACAGTATGGTCTTACGTCACACAAATGGAACTATGAATATCCGAGACTACGATATTCTTGTGGCATTGGTATTTATAATATTAATTGAGGTTGCTATAACTATTTTTTTTACTTAGCTTACGTTTTTGAGAGTTATGATAAACCTACGCCCTGAGCTTATTTGTTTTTTTTTGATAACTCAAGACTACACTAGAATGTTGGTCCACTGGGGACGTGTTAAAATTTCCAAGAGTTGTTTATGAAACACGTTAAAATTGTCATTGCCAACTGTTTTTAGGCGACATGTTAAAATTGCCAAGATTGGTTTATACTGAACAGGTTGGCCCGGCATGGCCAGGGGGTTAGGGCGCTCGACTCGCAATCCGAGGGTCGCGGGTTCGAATCCCCGTCACACCAAACATGCTCGCCCTTTCAGCCGTGGGGGCGTTATAATATGACGGTCAATCCCACTATTCGTTGGTAAAAGAGTACCCCAAGAGTTGGCGGTAGGTGGTGATGACTAGCTGCCTTCCCTCTAGTCTTACACTGCTAAATTAGGGACGGCTAGCGCAGATAGCCCTCGTGTAGCTTTGCGCGAAATTCAAAAACAAAAAAAAAACTGAACAGGTTAGAATGACAAAGATTTGTTTCTGGAACATGTTACAATTTTCAAAAATTAGTCAAGGAAAGTGAATGAAATTCTTAGAAATGTCACATTATTTGACAACTATTTTGTTTTAATTGCTTTCTTTATTGTGTATGTCAACATTTTTAAATATTAAAATGTAGAATCCCAGAATGTTGATTATTTTATGTTTCAATTAAACCACTGCATTGTATTTGTTACAATCTGTTTAGCCCGTGTAACTTTTATGTCTTAAAACAATTGAAAATATTAACTTTCCATTTCACCTCTTTTCGAAATACAACAAAACAAGATTTTAGACATCAAGTTTACGTCTGAAACAAAATTATTTAAGGAACTTAATTTAAATGAACTTGACATTTAACGATAAACATGTCAGTATGCTATAAACCAAACAGCAGTATATATCAGGCAGATGTTGTATGGACTTTTGAAGCTCGCATATTTCAAGATAGTCTTCAAATATAACTAAGTCCTCAAATAACGTCGTTGTGTCTTGTAATTCATATCATCATAGTTTGCAGATCTTAATAGATATTATGTTTGCTTGTTTAACACAGTATATGATATATTCTTACAGCTTAACTGTCTCAGTATTTCTTTCATTATAAGTATCAGAGTGCCCGGACTGTAGCAGAAAGTGCAAATAAAAGGTTTTTGTTTCCTTTATATAGTGCTCATTTTCACAGACTGCGTTGATTAGGCCTAAAGATTAAAATTATCTCTGCTGTAATAACACATATTTATACCAGAACTGTCAATTATGTTCCGTATGAAAGAGTTTTTATATAGATCTGCATAAGCTTTGCCTTCTCTTTGTTACTTTTATAATACTGTATAAACGTTCTTTCCTTATTCTCTACCTTATCATACCTTGTTTGGTGGTGTCAAACCTGGCCAAATGTACGGATCTCGATCTGGCCGACGGTTTGCTTAAAGACCTCGTGATTCTGGATTTCGCTGGGATAACTGCAGACTGGTGGGAGTGCAACAGTTGCGTTTCTCGTCTTTATAGTCATGAACTTCAGGAATATTTATGTGAAGAGCACAGTGGGTGGAGAGGCGGAGTTTGCTGTTCTAAGAGTTGTGATTGGCTGAAATATGGGTAACTATTAAAGATATTTGTGAAATACGCATAGGCAGGACGTCTCGTGGCCACAAACTGAGTAAATAAAATAACACAAAAAAACGTTAATTTAGCATTGTAAGTAGGTAGACTTTCCCTATCCCACTGAGGGACAGCCTATTGTTTTAGGTCAAACTTTTCAGCACTATTATCTTATATGTTACTGTAAAGAAAGGCATTTTTATCGGTAGCTAATGTCTTAATTCTGTGTCTAAAGAAATATTCATGAATATTATTTTTGTCATTTGCTAACATTTAACCATCGTTCATTACGCTGTTCAGATGCTTCCACCGTAGTAATCGAATTAAGCTTATGGGCCCTACATTAGTGTAGAGTGATGTACTTGAGTTAGTACTTTTTATAATATTGTATATATTTTTTTATTTCTCTTTTTTTTTACATGGTCGTGTAGAACTAGATTGAACCTGGAGTTTAGAAGATGTACAAAATGGTAAAATATCAAAAATACCAAACTTAACTTTTCCTGAATTTATTTTCAGGCACATTGTGCTAATATATTAAGAGTAAAAAAAAACAAAACGTTTTTTTGGTACAATGCAAGTATATTTTCGCAGTGTTAAATTTGTTCATCTTACATAACATTGGGTTGCAAGGTGTTAACAGAAAGCAATTACTGTTTAAACTATGACATGCCATTAGTGTTTCGCCGAGACTTCATTATGCAGTTTTAACGAACAGTCTGCTTGTGTGTGTTACACTAGTAGCTATAGTTCGTCATTAATCGTAGGGCCTTATTATCAACTAAAGTTTCAAAAAAATTCATTAAAAGTGTAAAAATAGTAACTCTCTCTCTTTCAGCTTTCAGTTTTTTGTACGAAGATTTTAATAATGTAGTCAACAGAAGAACATGACAATATAGTTTTAGTGTGGTTTAACAATAATAATAATAATAATATAAAAAAAAATGGGCGAGGAAAGAATTGTTATTTCATTACTTTGGAAAGCATCTATCGAAACAAGTATTTCCCTGTAAAAATGTCTATTTTACATAGCTCAGCTGCACAGCCATAAAAATATTTAACCCTTAAATCATAAATGCTTTAAAAAGTATTTTGGAATATTTGCATTGTAAAATTAGAAGAACAGTTCAAAAATGTTTTTCCCAAGCCAAATTGAAATAAAACGTTTAAAAACCATGAAATCCATTTAGCAAGAGTTGTTTAACTTAGTTATTAAACAGATTGAAAAAAAGTTTAGTATTATTCATTAAACTAGTTACTTCTTTTGAAATGTTGATTTAATGAACAAAAACCACAGATTTAACTCACCTCTGTTAATTAATAAAACTTACAAACTTCAATAAAAATCTGAGCAAACGTAGGACATTTAAGCTAGTTTAATTTTTAGTTTATATTTATCTTTAAAGAAAGCGCAGTTAACAAGATGTCAAGTCTGATTTCACTTAGGTTTTATTGATTCATTTACTAACTGTACGTCAACGTTTAGGGATAGTTCAATGATGTTATATTTAAGCTTTGACTTACTATTAATTATACCAGAGAAGGACTTTTGAAAACGACGAGTTAAGTAATTTTTATAGACCCATATGTTTGTTTGTTTTTAATTATGCACAAAGCTACACAAGGGCTATCTGTGCTCTGCCCACCACGGGTATCGAAACCCGGTTTCTAGCGTTGTAAGTCCGCAGACATACCGCTGTGACACTGGGGGCTAGACCCATATGTCAGTTCTCTCAAAACGTCAAGGTTTCACTTTGTTTGTAAAGCTCGCTGTTCATGCCCTGACATATACAATTTGAGACAAACTACAAGTTTCAAACAAACAAAAACAGTTAAATATGATATTCGTTTGAAATAAGTATCACGATAATATTTTTCAAATCTACCTACATGAAAAACGTAAGATGAGTGCATAATATTTTTTTTAAACACTAACTTTGATATATAGTAAAAACTTCAACCACACAAAAAGCAGCAGTTAATTTTTATAGATGGCTAATTATTACATAATTCATCATTAGTGTAGATTGATGTACTTAAGTTAGTACTTTTTATAATATCATATATTTTTGTTGTTTATTTCTCTTTTTTTTTACATGGTCGTGTAGAACTAGGTTGATCCTGGAGTTCAGAAGACGTACAAAGTAGTAAAATACCAATCATAAAACGAAGTGAAGGAAGATGTCACAGAAAGGGGTTTTGACAGGAGACTTACAAAGTAGTAAAATACCAATCATAAAACGAAGTGAAGGAAGATGTCACAGAAAGGGGTTTTGACAGGAGACTTACAAAGTAGTAAAATACCAATCATAAAACGAAGTGAAGGAAGATGTCACAGAAAGGAGTTTGGACTGGAGACTTACAAAGAAAAATATCTTTATTTAAGTATCACCAAGTTTACTACAAAAACAACATTACTTAACATAATAGGAACAAAAATATAGCTATAATAAATTAGCAAAAGCTTAACAGTACACTATTACTGTTGATGAAAGTTGTGAAAGGTTTATAATGAACAGCAAAGAAAGACACGAAACTGAAGTGAAAACTACGAGTTGCACCACGATAGTTGGCCAATGGCTTGGATTCGAGCATGTTGAGGAACTCACAGACACTCTGCCGCTCACTTACAAAGAGAACCAACGTACTTCAACAACAGAGTTTGCGCAAAGAAAGAAAAAAAAGAGCAGCTGACAATACTGCATGACAAGTAATCCAAATACATGAGAAGTGACTTCCAAGAAAATAATGTTTACTCTCGTGCAACTGGAATGTTAACCCACAAGGCTACAGAATACCAGCTTACTTCGTTCCTCTCCTAACAACCGTATACCAGATGTTAAATTGTAGGTTAATTTAGCAATGGATTTAGACTTTATATACATACACACATCGAGTTGTGTGTCTTTTAAGTAATAGGGAGCGACGTTAATAATACCACACTATCTAAAGTTTCCAAAATATGCATGTCTATGTCATTCGATATGTGTACCTTAAGTATACATACATGTGCGTATATACTTATTAAAAGTTTGTATTTGCACTAAAGCAAAGACAATAGAAAATAAATATGAAATTGATGTAATAATTTGTAAATATGAAAACATCCAGCTTATAGTTGATGATCGAACGGGTAGAACAGATCGAACTTGCTTCAATAGTGAGAGATCAGACAGACCACAAAAAGCATAAAATAGAAAGTTTCTTATTTAACATTACTTGGATTATTAAGTCTTTTAGTTACATTTTCTAGTGACCATAGCAGAATTCCAAAAAAAAAAAAGTATTGTACATATTTCCGTGCCACATATAGTTCAGTTCGTAGCACTTTTACTGATAATACTCGTCTACTGATACGATCAGCGGCATGACACGATTCAGTGATCCACACATTATCACAGTCATGGAAATCATCGTGTACTGATACGATCAGCGGCAGAAGGTCAGGACTCGGTGATCCACACATTATCACAGGCTTGGAAATAATCGTGTACTGATACGATCAGCGGCAGAAGGTCAGGACTCGGTATTCCACACATTATCACAGGCTTGGAAATCATCGTGTACTGATACGATCAGCGGCATGACACGATTCAGTGATCCACACATTATCACTGGATTGGAAGTCATCGTGTACTGATACTGCAGAAGAAAAAAAAAGAAAATATTAACAACTGAAAATTTCAGTCTGAGTGACACCTTTTGCACACGTGGGCTAAAAGACCAGGTGAGAGGCCACCGCGGTTCACGCATACCTTTCTCTAATTCTGATCAACTGGCCAAATAGAGGACAGTCAGCTAGCAGCACCCTCCACCACGAGGGCTTTTCCTAGCTTTTCGTGAAAGTGCAGAGCATGTTCACCGTCAACATGTCTTCTCGAAACTCAGAAACTGCGATATGGACGCTAACCGATACCTTATATGCACCGAAAAAGCAAAGAAGACGTAAATTGTATATAGTCGAATACTGCAAAAAAATATGAAAAAAAAATACGGTTTATATTTTGTTCAGTACGGCCTAGAAGAAAAGTAATGTGTATAAAACTAAAAGTACGAAAGAGGAGTAATTATTTAGATGGTGTGAATACCGTGATCACTGATAAAATGAACTACAGTCTAAAGAGAACTAACAACATGGAGGTGAAACTGGCTAAAGAACTAGAATATTCTCTATGTTTATATATGTTTGACTTAACATTACTCTTTACAGTTTTCACATTGGTTCTAAGCTAGTAAAGAAGGTACTGCATGTGATACTTCAGATGAATATGATAATTAATGGGCAAAAGAAAAACGTGATGTATCTCTTCAATGATGCAAGAGTGTTGTTTGTAGGCTAAAAGAAAAGTACGCCAGAAGTAAATGTCAGTGTGATTCGGTAGCTGAGGGAATAAATAAAAAAGGTAGCTTGTGCTTCCATGCGAGGAATTGTTATGAATTCAACATAGGTTTATATCAATATTTAATGGTGCTACCGGTGATTTCATTCCACAAACAACTCAAAGACAGCAAAAAAGAAAAGTTAAGACAATATAAACCTTTTTTATTTGTGTGTGTGTGTGTGAGATTAAGTTACACTATGAACCAAAACCATGATCATATTTATTGAGTTTTCTCAAATATATTCATTAATTCATTAAAGTATTTGAAATTTTTAATAACTAAAGAATCTTATCTTCATCTAACCTTTCTAAACCTCAAACTTAAGAATTGTGATAATTTGTCAACGTACTCCTTTTGAAATGATTCACTAGTTATGCCATAAATATAACGTACGTTTATAGGAACTTATTATGCGTTGATAATGGTTGGAGACGGCTTGAATGGGTAATGAAGAAAAACTTTAATATAAGTTTAACA